TTTTTCTACGCCCCTAATAGGGACTATAGGCAGACAGACTGATAAAAATGCTCACTGGCATCACCAACAAGACAAGGAAGAATGGAATGGCTACTTCTGGCTTAGTAGCCGTCATCGATCAGTCATACCCAAAACCAAATGTTGTAACCCCTGAGGTTCGAAATCGCGACCTGTTCGCTAGGAGTCCAACGTTCTAACCATTGAGCTGCGGGCTCCTTGTCCTGTCAGTTGCATTTGGGTGTATTAACGATGGCAGAGGGGCGTTCACCGGTCGCGGGGCCCGAGATTGGGCTCCAAGGCACAACGGGGAACGTATGTCCCATAAAGCGATCGGTGAACACCTATCGAAAATACTCACGTTTGAAGGACAGCATGCGTCCGAATTTGCACAAACGCAAGAATTAAAAAAGTCTGAATGATCACAAGTCACCACCATAGGTACACAGACTAATCAACGCATGTGGTACTTCCAAACTGAGGTAGTTCTCGGAGGAGAAAGGCGAATATACGACCACTCGCCCAACGTTAGATGAGAAGGACGGAAAAGGTCTGTCATGCGGTAAGGAAACTACAGGTTGTCTTACTTCGGCCAAGTTGAGATAAGAAAGTCGGCACGGGGAGTTCTGTTGACCAGGTGGAACACCAAAGAAAGCAAATGCAGAGGAAAAATAATTTATTCACAATGAGTACTGTGAAAGGAAACTAGGACACTTGGAATACAAACGCAGGCCTAAATACGGAGAGGAGGAATGGAGTGAAGTCGAAAAGACGGACAATTGCCAACCATATCGCCGGGCACAAACTGCTGTCAGAAGCCACATACTGTCACTGCTGCTTAAGCGCTTCCTTCGGGGCACCATCTTTCCTACTAGCCAGGCGTGGCTTGGAACTGCGTGGCCGCGTACTTCGTAAGGGGATCCTAGGTGCCAGTATCCGTCTCCTCTGGAGGTACATGTGTTTCATCAACAAGCCAAACGCTATAAAGAATGAAAAGTCAACAGCAGGGGTCTTAAAAGTATCTCACAAGCGCACATACCAGTATTTCCCTCAGCCCTCCAAAACTTGCATACGGAAAATGGACAGAAGGTGTTTATCGAAAACGTTAACGAATTTGTGCGTGAAGTCCGGTTTAGGTATGGAAGAAAGAACTACACGTCTGGGCACGCGTGAACAGGGAGCACATGTTAGGTTCGCTGCTGCACTACATCTCACCACCGGTCAGCTCGGCTCGGATGTGCCTCTGAAGCGAGACGAGCCAGGGATGAGAGCGTGTAAGGCCGACGCTCTGCAAACCCTCCTCGTTGTACTATACCCGATGCACTGTTGAGCGGCCACGGTGCAATGAAGATCGTTGCTAAGACGATTATCGACTAAGGGAATACTCCTGTGCTCAGAAATAAAAGTTGCCAGCTTTCAACGGTTCACTTTCATCGTGCTATTACGGCCACACCGA